ATGTTCAATGAGTGTGATAGCTACATCGCAGCAGGATGGTGAGAGGTTAACATGCAAGTTCAGAGCATTGTGGACAACGCCGGTAATGTCGAGGCGGCCGATGTGTGAGTGCTGAATGGGTTGCAAGTCGATGGTGAGAGAAATGGATTGCAAGTCGATGGTGAGAGATGATGTTTGGCGCGTAGAAAACTCCATTGGTGACGAGGCTGTTGACTGCTGCGGTGAGGCGAGGCGGTCTTGACGAACTGAATAGAGGAAGCCAACGAGGTTGTCATTGATGGCATGGAGGTGAATGTTTTTTGGTGAAGTATTGGTGGAAGCGCAACCAAAGCTGAGGGATGGAGAGTTAGGCGGGATGTTGGGGAGGGAGTTGAAGGAGCATAGTGTCAGGCTGTGGACGTGGTTCGTAGGAGAATTCCATGGGCTGATTGTCAGTCGGAGATAATGGCACGGCCTTGTTTCCAACCATTCTTTTGCTTCAGGTGAACAATGCCGTTGGGGATGTTGAATCTCCTGCAAAAGCCTTATTTGTATTTTTGGCGAAGGGCTGGTGGGAATGCGGTGGAGAGGTGTTCCTGGAGAGTGTCTAAGGTGCGGTGTGGAAGTGGTTTGAAGGATTCAGGGGCGTGCCAGGCGGCGCGGCATCTCTGAAATAGGGCTGGAGGCATAAGATACAAAGATGCTGCGTGGTGCAGGATGACCTGATCGCCTAGGAATTGCTGAAGTTGCATGAGGGATCTGGCGGTGAATCGGGCAAAGCTCCGGACGCAGGCGGAGAGAAGGTGGCACGCCATGATGTTTCAGCCAATTGGCGAAGGCGAAAGTGATGGAGATATCGATGGGAGATTGATGTCTGCCAACTGAGGGCGAAGCGCCCCTCAGTTCTGGGGTGTGGCAGGTCGCGGGGTTGAAGATGAGCGAGCTGTTCCTTGTGAGGGGGATGGTGGAAAACTTGCTCCTAGCGGCGGGTTGTGGAGCAGTTTTGCGAGCGGCCTCGCGGAGGCATGTTGGTAAGTAAAAGGGATGGTATGGTTCTGGCTGGTGATGTTGGTGAGCTATTGTTGGGTATCACGTTGGAAGGTTTCGTGAGACAGGAATGGGATGGCGAAAGGTTGGTGGGGCATGGCTTTGCTTTGCATAGGCCTCTAAGTCTAAGTCGGTATATCGGCCTGAGCGTAGGGCCCGGGCAGCATCAAAAGATGTACAGAAGGACTTTATGAGTTGGCCTAATGTGGTGAGGGCGTGTCGTCGTTGGGGTGTGAGGAGGACTGGTTGTTAAGCGGCGATGGTTGGCGAGCCTGCGAAAAAAAGAAAATCAGCTGCGAGGTGGAGATGGCGGGAGATGAAAGGCTTGAGAGAGGACATCCACCTGGCGATGTATAATTAGGTGTTCTTGGACCCAGGCTTTGATCGTGGTCGGTGTGGGTGGGAAAATAGATCATGGAGTAGTTGGTGATGGTGCCTGTGGAGTGCCAGTAACGAAGAAAAAGGTGTGCGGAAATAGGAGTGTTGTTGTTGAGTTGGCGAAGTTTGGCCCTTCGGTTAGGTTCGCGTTGCGGTATGCCGAGAGTCCCAGAGGGGTGGGTTGGTGGTACGCTAATCTCTTGGGTTCGCTGGGTGGGAACTGGCAATGTGGAGGATCGTCCTGGAATTCGTGGGAGTCAGTGGGACGCCATGCTCTTGAAGTTTTGTGCGTGCTTTTTGCAGCTCCTCCTGCTGACTCTGCCGTCGGCGGAGGGCGCCCCCTTCCGATGGCACCGGTGTATGTTTTGAGAGACTGTCAATGGGCAGGGAAATTCAAGGGCTGCATAAAAGCTTTGCGTCTACAGTTTTGCTGGGTGGTGTTCTACTCTACAGTGCGCCTGATGGAGATGGGGGGTGTCTGTAATGGCAACGAGGCCACAACGAAGTTCTCGAAGGCTGGAGAAGGGGTGGGGATGAGGCATTGCTCAAAGTGCGGGCGGTAAACTCGGAAGGTCCATGGTATGCCAGCAGCCAGGGGGAGACTTGGAATGTGGGTTAAAAAGCTGCTGGATTTGCGCTTGTACACAACTCGGTCCCGAGTACAGCTGCACGTCCTGACTCATGTGCACAGTAATGTCGGCTGCCCGTTAGAGTTTTGTGACATTAATGAGATACAAGATGTAATAGCTGTTCCTCGAAAGCATCCGCGGCTTCATGGGCAGAGCATGGGGTGGGCGGTACTGTTTCGGACTCGTCGTCTTCAGGTATCTCTCGCTGCCTTTGAACGCTGGTTCTCCTTCAGAGGGTGCTTGGCTGTGCTCAGCCTCCCCCCTGCAATGGTTTGATTTTTACCTGCCTATCTTAGATGCTACTGCTTTGCGATTACATGTTTCTTGGCGTTTTGTCGCCACTCTTCTGCTACCCCTCACCTTTTGGCTTTGGTGTTAGGGGTCTCCGCACCAAGAAGAAGGTATGCCCCTGGTGGGCGCGCACTTTCTACATGGCAGCAAAGCTGGAGTGGGAGCCGGATTGGGACGTAGTTCGATACGTTGATGGGAGGATGAGGTTGCGAAGCCCAGCGGCCAGGTGCCTGGCGACGAATGTGGGTTGAGTAGGAACAGGTTTGGCGGGTTTTGCGGCATTGGCTGGTAGTGAGAACGCGTGGGCATCTGACAATGGATCACAGTGCAAATGAATTCAGCTCTAGCGCGCGTTAGAAGTACGAACTGCATGACAACGCACGATGATCAGTGAGTAATCCAGAAAGCCCTGTGGCTTTCGATCAGCACTCTCGAGCAAAAATGAGTGATCGGACGAGATTCCAGCACAAGGACAAATGATCAAGAAGGGTCCTCCGGAAGGGTATGTGAATTCAGCACCCGATGATCCAACGGGATCACACAGTGCACCGGCCGGGCAGCACTGCAGGTCACACTTAGATAGATGGTTTGCAAAAGCAAATGTCAGTTTTGGTAGCCCTGTGGCGTTAGCGCTTTTAAAGTCTAGTTGCTGCGTTACCTATGTCACGTAGAGCGCTGAAACCTGAACCTGTCAATGGCCATATGTGAACGGAAAGGTGAAAAGGTCAGAAAACAACATTGTTTACATCAATCTCGGCCTCTGTGCAGGTACGTGGATTCCGCGTCCAAGATATGGAATCCATACCACTGTCTCAGAACAGCCTCTTCGTTAAACGAAAAAGAAACTATATAGTTAAAGGAGAAAGGCATGAGCTGCAGTGCGATTGAGCCCCCTTGGAAACAGTGGTTGACAAACAAACACGCACACTGAGATTGTTGCTCGCAAGAGCTAGTATCAGTACGAAGTTCCCCTTGACTTGATGAACTGAATGAACGAAAACCGAAAGGTGGCAGAGTCGATGGACTTGTAGATGTTGAACAAGGTTTCTCTCAGGTCACTAGTCGATTAGTACAAAACACTGCAGTGGACAGCTTATTCAACAGTTTCAACAGGCTTTGCAGGTACGTTCTCAAGGCGTCCCTTGAGAATATCCTGACGAATGGCTGGAGCTTCGTTGGATCTTCGTTGGATCAGGCCAAGCCAAACGTCCCTGATCCCCCTGCCTCTTTTTTCTGTGTTGAGAAACTGTAAGTTAGTAGCGATACCAGGAGCCCGTAGTAGCAAAACCAGGGGCCCTGGTAGCGTTCTTTATGACTCAAAACCTTAGGCACAGGTGTGGACACACACACACGAAGCCGTACTTGCAGTTTAGTAGCGTGGCCAGGAGTCGCTAGTAGCGTCCTTACACCCTGTAGAATGGTCAGAGGTCCTGAAGCCCCTAGTAGCGTCGTTGGTGTCCGCCGGTCGCAAAACTTTGTACACATAGCGCCAATATTGGCGCTTTTTGTGAAAACTACTAGCGACCTAAAAAGCCTTAGAAAGACAGAAAAAGCAAACAAGACAAAAGCAGACTAAGAGGGCAAGAAGGAAAGATAGGTGTAGTTACGAAAGTAGAACGCGAGCGGGACATTTTGTCTTAAACCGCCCGGGTAGCTAGCAATAGAGTAGGAGAAACGGAAGGAAAGGCACCAACGCACAAGTGCGTTGAGTGCGATGAGGGTGGGTTGGGGTGGCCCGTAGGCCTTGCCATCATTGGCATTCAAGTAAAGCCGATTCGGGCCGGCGCGCCCCTTGTCTGAAAGACACCTGGAACCTAAAGAAAGGCCTCAAGAAACGAAAAGCAACAAAAGGAGAGAAAGAACCGAAGAGCGTGAAAAACACATGTTAACAAAAGCGCAGCGCTAAAACCCGCCTGCGAATACTTAGACGCATGTTTCCATGGTGATACAAATCCAGAGTGTGGATCACAGTAAGCCCTGCGGCATAGTATCAGTGGTATCGCGCAAAGCAGTCAATCAGAAGGAATCGAACGAAATGCCAAGGTGGAAGCAATCCCCCAGGATCTGGGTCTATGCACACGCGGCGCCCCTTGACGGGGATCACACCACAGCCCTCAGTGGGACCCGTGGCGAAAACACACTGAGATTGTTGCTCGCAAGAGCTAGTATCAGTACGAAGTTCCCCTTGACTTGATGAACTGAATGAACGAAAACCGAAAGGTGGCAAAGTCGATGGACTTCTAGATGTTGAACAAGGTTTCTCTCAGGTCACTAGTCGATTGGTGCAAAACACTGCAGTGGACAGCTTGTTCAACAGTTTCAACAGGCTTTGCAGGTACGTTCTCAAGGCGTCCCTTGAGAATATCCTGACGAATGGCTGGAGCTTCGTTGGATCTTCGCTGGATCAGGCCAAGCCAAACGTCCCTGATCCCCCTGCCTCTTTTTTCTTGTAAGTTAGTAGCGATACCAGGAGCCCGTAGTAGCAAAACCAGGGGCCCTAGTAGCATTCTTTATGACTCAAAACCTTAGGCACAGGTGTGGACACACACACACAC